AAAGTATTTGACAAAATTCAAGATCCATTCGTGCTAAAAAGTCTTAGCACAACCGGTAAATGAGAGAAGATTCTCCACTTAACAAAGGGCATCTCTGAAAAACCCTCAGCTTACATCATACTTAATGACAAATGACTGAATGTTCCACTCCTCAGGTCAGACACATACATGTCTAGGGTTGGACCTTTCACTACTTCTATTCAAAATCGTTCTTGAGATTCTCTCCAGTGCAGTAAAGCAAGAAAAAGAAATAAAAAATGTCAGGTTGGAAAGAAAAAGTAAAAGGATCTCATTCACAAACAAGGTGACCATCTTATTCAGAAATTCTAAGGAACTGTACAAAAATCTCCTAGAACAAACAAGAAAGTTTAGCATGGTTGCACAATACAATATGTTAAAATTAATGCTATTTGTATGTGTAGCTGACTTGAACAACACAGGCTTGAATGGCAGGGGTGCATTTACAGGCAGATTTTTCAAAATAAATATATAAAAACCTTTGTGGAGATTTGCAACAATTTGAAAAATCTTGCAGATAAACTATGTAGTCTAGAAATATCAAAAAAAATTTTTAGAGTTGGGTATGTCATGAATGCATAAAATATATGTAGATACCACTCTATTTTATCATACACTATCCTAAAATATATACAAATCTATTGTAGAAAGGTAAAAATTATCAAAATTTATACCCACAGACTGTACAAGGTGCCATTCTCCATGAAGAGAAATGTAAAGCAATGTGAAGATGTTGTATGAATCTTAAGACATACATTTAACAGTAGTATGCACTCTGATAATTTCACAGCCACCTCCTGTTGCCACTGCGGCAAGCTGAAGTGTTGCCTGTATCTGCTTGAAATGCCCTGTGATGCTAACCATCTCCACGTGAGCAGTCCATTTCTGTAGTAAATTGCGTATCACACTAAAAACTGATCTCCCCTGGATCTCACGTATTTTTCATCATGTTTGGTGCAATATCGGCAATATTATACACCTTGACTAACACCATGGGACCCACACAAAGTGCCACTACAGATGCTGGAAGTTCTCCCAAGAAGCAGAGAAAAGTCATGGCATTACAAGGAAAAGTTGAATTGCTTTGTAGGTACCATAGATTGAGGTCTGCAGCTCTGCTTGCCCACCATTTCCAAGTGAATGATTCCAGCAAAAGGACCATTGCAAAAAAAAAAAAAAAAAAAAAAAAAACAAAAACGAAATCTGAGCAGCCATCACTGCAGCTACACCAGCAAGAACCCAGACCTTGCACTTGTTTGAAATACATTTTTATCTTGCATGGAAAACGCAGACTATGTGGATGTAGGAAGACTACAGACTATGTGCAGACTATGTGAATGCTACAAGAAAGACATACCTATAGACTCTATATGATGCCAGAGAAAGCAAAGCCACTACAGGACAGCTTAAAGAAAAAGAAAGGTGAAGGACCTAAAGCTGGAGAATTTAATGCCAGCACAAGTGATTTCATAATTTTACAAAGAGGTTGAACTTTTAGAATGTCAAGATGACAGGAGAAGCAGCTTTTCGGGAACAAGTGGCAGCAGACCAGTTTCTAGATACCATTAAGAAAATCATTGAGTAGAAAGGATATCTGCTGGAATAGATTTTTAATGCAGATGAAAGTGCCCGATTCTGGGGGGGGAAAAGCTACAAAGAACATTTATTATTAAGGAAGACAAGCGAGCACCAGGGTTTAAGGCGGGAAGGAAGAGCCTAACTCTACTGTTTGTGCAAATGTCATTGGGTTTATGATCAGGATTGTCCTTATCTGCAAAGCTGCTAATCCCCAAGGAAAAGGTAAGTCTTTTCGTTGTATAACAAGAGGCCTGGACAACAAGAACACTTTCTCTGGATGCGTTCCAGTGATGCTTTGTCCCTGAAGTCAGAAACTACCTTGCCACTAAGGGACTGCCTGTCAAAGTTCTCTTGCTATTGGACAATGCCGCTGGCCACTGCAGCCCCATGAGTTCAACACAGAAGGCGTCAAAGTGCTCTACCTGCCCCAAGCACAATGTCTCTAATGCAGCCTCTAGATCAGGGCCCATAAGGACCTTTAGGGCTCGTTGCACAAAGCACCGTATGGCAAGGATTGGTGACGCTATGGAAGAGGGTCCCCACAGAGAGAACATCAGGACAATGCAGAAGGATTTCACCACTGAAGATGCCGTTGTTGTGATACAAAAAGCTGTGAAAGGCACCAAGCCAGAAACAGTCATCCCTGCTGTAGAAAACTGTGTCTAGCTGTTGTGCAAGGAAATCACCAAGGAGACTGTGGACATGGCCAAAGAAAACAGAAGAAAAGGTGGGGCATAAAGTGTTTCAACATATGGGTCTTGGAGAAATTCAAGAGTTCGTGAACAGCACAATGAGCAGTTAACAGAAGATGACTTGATGGAGATGAGTGCTCTGGACCAGGGCCAGATGCTGAGGGAGGAGAGGAAGAGGAAGCGATGCCAAACCAAACGCACATTAGCCAATCTGGCAGCAGAGTTGCAACTATTCCAGACTGCTCTTCACCTCTTCTGTGGCCAGGACCCTTCTGTGCTACGGACACTCACTGCAAGGGACGCAAACAGTGGGAGAAGATCGGTAGTGTGTAGAGGCACATTTTAAGGAATGAAAAGCAAAAAAGTCAGACAGAAATTATGATGTATTTCTGTAAATTAAACCAAGTGTGCCTGCCTCTCCTGCCTCCCCTTCCAGCCCCTCCGCCTCTTCCACGTCTGTCGCTTCTGACACAGCAAGACCAACTCCTCGTCTTCCTCCTCCTCCTCTGCCTACTCCACCTCAAGGCAATGAAGATGGACACCTTTATGATGATCCAGTTCCACTTAATGGACAGTAAATGGGTCTCTTTTCCTTTAATAGTCTTAACATTATCATTTCTCTAGGTTACTTTATGGTGAGAATACACTATGTACCACACAAAGAAATGTGTATTAATTGAGCATTTCTCTTATTGGTAAGCCTTCTGGTAAACAGCAGAAGTTAATTATTTGGGTAGTCAAAAACCACATATGGAATTCAACTGCATGGCAGGATTCGTGTTCCTAACCTTCATAGTGTTCAAGGGTCAATTGTACTTGCAATGAACACTTGGAAATTGAAATCAAAAGAGCATTTAAATAGTATCAGAAATATGAAATATTAGGGACAAATCTGACCAAAGATGTGAAAGACCGTACACTGAAAAGTACAAAAATATTGATGAGAGATGTTAAAGGAGTTCTCAATAAATACAGAGATATACCATGTTCATAAATGGGAAACCACAAGATTCTGAAGAAGCCTACTCTCCTTAATTGGTCAATAAATTCAATACAATCCCAACTAATATACCAGCAGGCTTTTGGGTAGAAATTGGCAAACTGATTCTAAAACTCCCATGGAAATGTGAAAGACCTATACTAGCCAAAACAACTCTGAAAAGAAGAAAAATATTAAACAGCTGGTAGTACCTCATTTCAAGACTCATTACAAAGCCAGAGTAATCTAATATTTCATAAATATAACAATGGAACAGAATAGGGAGTACAGAAATAGATGCACAGACATATGGGCAATAAGTTTTTACAACATTGCAAAGGCAACTCAGTAGAGAAAAGAACAGTCTTTTCAACGATTGCATAGCCATAGCAAGATACAAGAAAAGACATTACCTCTGGGGCCTATAATCCCAGTTTAACCATGATAAAAAAAAATCAGAGACCCAAACTGAGGAACATTCTACATAATACCTGATCCACTACCCCTCAAAACCATCAATGTCACCAATAGCAAGGAAAGTGTGAGAGACTATCACAGGCTAGAGGAGCCTGAGAACATGAAGACTAATGTCATGTCATGTCCTGGATGGGATCCCAGGAAACAAAAGGACATTTGGAAAAAACCAATGAACTCAGAATAAACTATGGACATTAGTTCATCATAACATGTTAACATTGGTTCAGAGTTGTGATAAACGTGCCATAGAAAATAGGATCTATCGATAGTGAAAACAGGGAATGGGCATATGGGAATTCTCTGTAACATTTTTTGCAACCTTGCTATATATCTAAAATTATTTCAAAATAAAAAGTTTTTTAAAAAAAGAGAGACTGTCTGCAACCTGGGAGAAAACATTCGCAGAGCATATATTGGATAAAGAACTTATATCGAGAATATATAAAGAATTTTTAAAACTCAATAATGACAAAACAAAAAAATTCAAATGTTTTTGAAATGGGCGAACATTTCCCGCAAACATTTACCAAAGCAGACATGCAGATGGCAAACACACACATGTAAAGATGCTCAGCGTCATTTTGACTACAGAAATCAAATTAAAAATGCAATGTAATTCACACACCCAGTAGAGCGGCTATAGTGAAAAGACTGACCAAGCCCAGTGTCCGGCAGCAGAGAGAAGAGCTGGGACTCTAATGTGCTGCTGGAGGGACCACACAATGGTCCCGTCACATGGGGATAGTGTTTGGTAGTTTCTTAAAAAGGTAAATATACACCTACCATAGAATTTACACTAGTTATGTGGATACATCGAAAATGACTTCAAAAATTGAAAATGACGCATACAAAACTGCTAAGAGCAGTTTTCCAATAGGGGGTAGTATAGAATTAGCAAAAAAAGGGAAGTTGCATTTCTTACTGTGTTTTTCATTACTTTCCTATAAACAATATTAAAAAATATAGCCTGGTAGCTGGGAATGGTGGCATAAGCCTATAATCGCAGGCAGTGGGAGGCTAAGCCGGGAGGTTCAACTCAGAGGTTCCAGGCCAGCTAGGCAACATAGTGACATCCCATTTCTATTTTTAAAAATGCAGCTTGGAAATAACGTACAGCTATGTCAATTGTGTGTATGTATAATTACACTATATATATATATATAAATTATAAAATTTGCTTATCCACAAGTGCATTAGCACAAAATAACTCATTAAACCAGAAAGAAATACCAACTTTGATGAAAGTAAATGACAATTCATAGTTCAGTAAGGAATATTTTTTTGAAAATCCAAAGCCAGATTATGCCAATTTTGCTAAGGGAGAGACAACTCACCTCGGGCAGTGGCTTTCCCTGGTTGCAGTTGATGCCACCGATGAAGATCATGTTGGGCATTACCGGCCTGGGAGAGTCCAAAACAAAGTCTGTTCGCAACAGCCAGATTGATGTGTGGCTGTACAAGTCATACACCGTGACAGGTGTCTGGAGAATTTCAGAGGCAATTTCTACGACAGTTTTGAAAAAATAGGGGCAAACTAAATGCTCCTCCAAGTGGAAGATATGGTTCCGCACTTTCTCTTGGAAAGTCATGGCATCCGAGAACCCTAAGAGAATTCTGGGAACATAAGAAAGAGGAGCCGGGCACTGCGCACCTTCCTCAAGATAACTGCACAATATTCCCCTGGTGAAGATCACAGAGGGGAGCGAAAAGTACTTGGCAACGATTAAGCCACACATATCAAAAGGATCCAGAAACACAGCATCAAAAGAACTCTCTTTTAAGTATTCTACTAATTTTTTGTCATTAAACAAACTCCTACAGTGTGAAAAAATAGTTTCAAAAAAACCTCTGGCTGAAGTCATTAAAACAGAATATAAAGTTTGCCCCTGATTTTTCCATTGAGCATCGGCAAATCTCACAAACTCACGGTTCAGATCCTCCAGGGTGTGAGAAGCTTTATAAGTCTTCACTGTACAATTCAGTGATTGTCCCAGTTGCCAACTCACGTCTGGAACGACCACGACCAGCTCGTGCCCTCTGTGGATGAGTTTCTCCACCACGGACCGCATGGTAAACCAGTGGCTGCCGTCCATGGGCACCACCAGCAGCTTGCCTGCCTCGGCCAGGCCGGATGTCAGCAGCAGACACACACACAGGGGAAGGAGCCCGGGCAGCGCTGCAGGAGCCATGGCAGAACCGCGCCCGGAGCAAACCAGCTGCTTGGATGCTCAGCTCTTGTAACGCAGGCACAGGAGGAAGTGCAGGCACAAAACCTGCACCCAAAACAGGGCGTGTACTCACGTGTTCATTAAAAAGCCACATACACGGCCAATGATTTACTCATAAGCACAATAATAAATGATTAACATTTGCTGAGATTCCCAGTTACATGTTTCCAGGCAAAAGTAACTTGTGGTCTTTGCCCTGGGGACAGATCATGCCAGTACAACAATGTGAGTTTAGAAACAGATTTATTAAGCAATACTTTTTAATCTTGACAACTCAGAATTTGAATAAAGCTTGTATTTTTGGAATTTGTCCCAAAGCAAAATGTGTAATTTTATCTTCAGACTACCAAAGGCTCTCTACGCAGAAAGAAACTGACATCCATGTTCCAAGGAAGCGCAGCAAGGCCCTTAGCACTGCCCTCCTAACTGGCAAGAAATTGTCATTCACAAGCATCTCTGCAATGCGTAGGCATTGCTGCTTGTTCCTTTCTGTTTCCAACCCTCTGAGGCCTCTGAAATGCTGAAATAAGATGGACAACTCCTTTTTCATGGACCAATCCAGGAATGTGATGGAAAGTGACTGGCATGTATTTCAAATTGCTTCCCTCAGCTACACTGCATGCAGTGGATGGTCACCTGCCCTGTGCTGCCCGAGCACTCTGCTGAGATGCCTCCCTCTGTCCTCCACACTTCCACATTCTAGCCAGAGGTACAGACCTCTGCTGTGGGTTCACCCCCTCACCTCATGTTACCCTCCTTCAGGAAAGATGTATTGGCCTCCCCCACTCTGCTGAGCACTCCTTGAGGTCACGGGATATATGTTCCTCATGTTTCAGTCTCTTTCCACAGTACCTATGCTGTGCCTTGCACAGAGAAAGTACACAGGCATATTTGCGGCAGTGGACTGAATTGCATTATGAAGCTTTTCCAGATGCCTTCATGGATGAGCCCATTGGTGTGCATCAGGTAACACCTGGAGGAGCATTTAACGAGGGGTTCTGCAGCCAGCCTGGGAGTAGAAGCCTTGTCAGGAACACAAAAGGGCTCCTTCTGTTACTAGACATCTGCTTAGTCACCATTTACCTTGCTGACTGGAGTACTTTCAGATGATTGTCTTTGAAAAATAAAAATGGCATTGAGTGATCTTCTTCCCCAGAGGCTTACTGGAGAGTAGAAATCAATGAAATAGAAAATAGAAAAACAACAGAGAAAATCATTAAAACAAAAAGCTATTTCTTGAGATGATCAATTAACTTGACAATGCTCTCACCACACTGACCAGAAAAAAAAGAGGGAGAGAAGAAATAAATTACCAATAACAAGAATGAGAGAGGTGATATACCACATATTCTACAGATAGTTAAAATGATAATAGAATATCATGATCGCATTTATGTCAAAAAATTCCAGAACTTAAGTGAAATGTACAAGTTCCTTAAAAGACATAAGCTACCAGACTTTACCCAAGAACAAATGTTCAAAATAGAAATGACCTATATTTTTCAAGTTGAAATAGAATTTATAATTCAACCTTTCCCACAAACAAAACATCAGGTCCAGATGACTTCACTGATGAATTCTACCAAACATGGAAGGAAGAAATAATGCCAATTCCTCACTATCTAGCCCATAAAATTGGAGCATAGGGAGTTTCCACATTCTTCTATGAGACCAGCATCCCCACAATACTGAAACCAGATAGACATTACAAGAAAGAAAAACTACAGCCCTTCATGTCCCTAGATGCAAAAATTCTAAACAAAATTTTAAAAAATCTAATTCAAAAACATATAAAAAATTTAATATATAAAAATAGAGTATACCACAATCTAGTGGAGTTTATCCCAGGAATGCAAGCCTGGTTCAACATTCAAGGTTACACAGCATGCTCATAGCAGCAGCATTCACAACAGCCAAAAGATGAAGCAACCCAGGTGTCCAACCACCAATGAATGCATAAGCAAAATGTGATTTTGTACACACACACACACATATGTGCTTTGAGGACATTTACCAAGTGAAATAAACCAGTCTCAAAAAGACAAATACTATGTGATTCCACTTACATAAGGTATCTAAAATAGTCAAACTCAGAATCAAAGAGTGAAATGGTTGCCAGGGGCTAGGGTGAGGGAGGAATGGTGAGTTATTGTTTAATGGATGCAAAGTTTCAGTTTGGGAAGGTGAAAAGTGTTCTGGCGATGGATGGTGGTAACACACGCACAGCGATGTGAGCACACTCAATACTGAACCGTATACGTAAAAGTGGTTAAGGCGGTAAGTTTTATATTATCTGTATTTTGCCACAATAAAGAATAAAAAATAATAAAAATAAAATCAATCAAGATAATGCAGAATACAAATAAACTTTAAAAATGTAATTGCTTCAATAGGCCCAGAAAAAGTATTTGACGAAATACAAAATCCATTTCTGATAAAAATGATCAGCAAACTAGAAAAAGAAGAGAAGTTCCCCAATCTAATAATGAGCATCTTTGAAAAACCCAGGGTTAACTTTATACTCAGTGGTGGATGACTGAATTTTCTCATCAGATCGGATACATGCCAAGGATGGCTGTTCTTACCACCTCTATTCAATTCAATATTGTTCTGGAGGTTCTACCCAGTGGAGCCAAACAAGAAAACGGAAAAAAGTATGCAGATTGGAAAGAAAAAGTAAAAGGATATGATTCACAAACAACATTATCATCTAGGCCAGACGCGGTGGCTCACGCCTGTAATCCTAGCTCTCTGGGAGGCCGAGGAGGGCGGATTGTTTGAGCTCAGGAGTTCAAGACCAGCCTGAGCAAGAGTGACACCCCATCTCTACTAAAAATAGAAAGAAATTAATCAGACAACTAAAAATATATAGAAAAAAATTAGCCGGGCATGGTGGCACATGTCTGTAGTCCCAGCTACTCGGGAGGCTGAGGCAGAAGGATCGCTTGAGCCCAGGAGTTTGAGGTTGCTGTGAGCTAGGACGACACCACGGCACTCTAGCCTGGGCAAAAGAGTGAGACTCTGTCTCAAAAAAAAAAAAAAAAAAAACGTTATCATCTATGTAGAATTTCCAACTGAATCTACAAAATTCTCCAGAACAAATGAGCAAGTTTAACATAGTTGCAAGATACAAAATTAGTGCTTAAAACTTACTTTTATTTCTATATACCAGCAACAAACAACGGAAAATTAGAATAAAAATATCATTTAAATAGCATCAAAAATATGAAATACTTAGGGATAAATCTGACAAAAGATGTGAAAGACTAAATACTGAAAACTAAAAACATTGGCGAGAGACGTCAATAAGTAGCTATGTCATGTTCATGAACTGAAAAACTCAAAATGAGGACATCAATTCTCCCAACTTGATCTCTGAATTCAGTACAATCCCAATCAAAATCCGAAGCAGCAGGATTTTTTGTACAACTGGAAAAATGGTTCTAAAATTCACATAGAAATTTAAAAGAATTCTAATAGCAAAAACAACTTTGAAAAACAATGAACAAAGTTGGGCTCACACCACCACATTTCAAGACTTATTACAAAGCTACAGTAATCAAATAGTTCACAAGTAGATCGATGGAGCAAAATACTAAGTCCAGAAATAGATGCACAGGCTTGTCAACAGCCAAATTTTTACACAGGTGCAAAGGTAACTCAGTGCAGAAAAGAATAGTCTTTTGGGCTAGTGGGTATCCATTCGCAAGAAAGTGAGAAAAGACATCATCGCTGTGGTCTTCCTCCCAAAACCTATAGCCTCAGTCTAACCATGGTAACACCACCAGACAAATGGAAAATGAGGAACAAGCTACAGAGCACCTGACCAGTACTCTTCAAAACTGTCAAGGTCTCTGCGGGGGCAAATCTACAACTAAAGTACACGGGGAGCACTAAAGGGAGGGAAGGGCCTGCCTTTTACCTGCATTTGGGTGAGGCAAAGACATAAAGTGTAGCTATAATGTTTGTACCCTCACAAAACCCTGGAATAATAAATAAAAAATAAAAATAAAATAAAATAAAATAAAAACTGTCAAGGTCTCCAAGAACAAGGAAAGGCTGAGAGACTGTCACAGGCTAGAGGAGCCTAAGAAGACACGATGACCCAATGTCAGGTCGTGTCTGGATGGGATCTGGAAAAAGGAAAAGGACATTAGGTAAAAACTAAGGAAATCTGAATAAAATATAGACTTTAGATCATCACAATGTGCCAGTATAGGTAGCAGTATAGGTACACTGGTAGGTGAGTTGCGATGAATGTGCCAGAGTGATGCAGGCGTACCTTGTCTTATTGTGCTCTTTTATTGCACTTCAGGTTTTTTTTACAAATTGAAGGTCTGTGACAACCCTGCATTGAGTAAGTCTGTGGGTACCATTTTTCCAACAGCATGTGCTCATTTCCTGTCTCTGTATCACACTTTGCTAATTCTCACAATATTTCAAACTTTCTCCTTGTTATTATAACTGTTATGGTGATCTGTGATCAGTGCTATCAGTATTGCACTTGTTTGGGGGCACCACAAAGCTTGCCCACGTGAGATAGCAACCTTAATTGTTACGTTATGTGTGTCCTGACTGCTCCACTAACCAACCCTTGCCCCATCTCTCTCCTGCTCTTCAGGCATCCCTATTCCCTGAGACACAACAATACTTATATTAGGCCAACTAATGCCCTACAATGGCCTATGAGTGTTCAAGTGAAAGGAAGAGTTGCACATTTCTCACTTAAAACCAAAAACTAGACAGGATTCATTTTAGTGAAGAGGGCATGTCCAAAGCTGAGATAGGCTGAAAGCCCGGCCTCTTGTGCCGAACCATTAGCTAAGTTGTGAACGCCAATGAAAAGCTCTTGAAGGAAATTAAAAACACTACTGCAGTGACCACACGAATGGTAAGTGAAACAGCCTTATTGCTGATATGGACAGAGATTGAGTGGTCTAGGTAGACCAGATCAGCCACGACATTCCCTTATGTTAAAGCCCAATACAGAGTAAAGCCCTAATTCTCTTCCACTCCATGAAGGCTGAGAGAAGTGAGGAAGCTGTAGAAGAAAAGTCTGAAGCTAGCAGAGGTTGGTTCACAAGGTTTAAGGAACGAAG